GGGGGGAAATGACAGAATCAAGCAAAGAATCTGAAAAAAGGGACGCAGTGTAAGTAAACTGAAAAAGCATACAAAAGTCAGAAACTGTAAAAAGAATCTGAAGCTTTTCAAGAGAAATGTGACATCAGAGCAGCTGTTGGGGACAAGAAAGATTCCCCTCATGCAAAGTCCAGGATGTTCTGTTTACTCTGCCCTATGAGCTGATCAATAGCTTACCAAGAACTCCTGACGAACACAGCCAAAGTCAGTCAATGCAGGTTGTAAATGCCCGATAGCCTTGAAAGCTAGTAAACAACACTGAACTTTAAATTCAATCCATATGTTCATCAACCATGGCACATTTGGAGAGAGAATGGTCTAACACGCATATAAATACACAAAAGGTAATAAAAATGTGCTAAATGGATCATGACAAATGTCTGCTTAACGTCATGTTTTTTTATTGCAGAAAATTTCTGTCAATAGTATTTAAAGAGGTTTATACACCAACAAACCAGAAACGCCAAAATGATACTCAATAAAGCCAAAAAGATTACACAGCAAGATAAAAAGCACCACATTTAATTTATTAATTAAAACTGAATGTAAAGACAATGTAGAAAAATGGAATGATGTGACCCACCCTATCAACTCTGAGCAGATTGAAAGCATCACTGCACTATGATGCAACTGCAATGTCTGATTGCCCATCACACTGTGTCCAGTATGACTGGCAGAAGTAGCTTTCCCCTAGGCAGAGCATTCTGCATGCACCCTGGAAAGTACCGTTTTGGTCTCGTCTGATAAGAACACATTTTACTACCCTTCCTGTTATGTGAATTATTTTAAATAAGACTTGTATTTCATCATCTCACTACTTTTCTATGTGTATCTGTATAATCAATGCATGTTCTTTCAACAGATTTTTCTCTACATTTCCTTCAAAGTTACAATGTTTTGGAAAGCTTCTGTTGATCAGCCATAACAAATGGATCAAGGCAACTGGCATTATCGCTAACATACATACTGAACATAGGATACATTTTAACCAAACAAATCTCAGCTAAATACCCAACATCTTTTCTCTATCTTCAGATGATGGACTGAACAGAGCTCTGTAAGATGCTTTAGATCCTAAACTTCTCCACAGCTTTCTCTCTGGCCTGTCTGCTGTGTTGCTTGGTATTTATGATGCTGTCTTCACTATATGTTCTCATTTTTTGTACAGTATTTGTAAAAAATATTGTACAACTTTCTGTCAGTCTTTCGCATGAAAATCCCACTGAAATAGTGATGATGTAACCAAATTTGAAAATGCTCCAGGAGTAAGAAGACCTGTCCTATCTAGTAATTCATGTTGAAGCTTCAGATGTAAAAAACACACACACACACACACACACACACACACACACACACACACACACACACACACACACACACACACACACACACACACACACACACACACACAAAAGAACAGGTCTGCCTTGTAGTTGTTCTAACAGCTGTCTGGAGAGAATGACTACACAATACAAATATGAGCAGATGCCATTTGATTGCCCGGCACACTGATAGTACCATCATATCCCAATAAATCAGCTGATGATATCCCTACAGCTTTCATCAGAAATAAGGTTATAGTGTTTGTTGATGATGTCAAAACCCACAAAGAGTTCAGTTGATAACACAAACTGGATGTGGGTTCAACTGGGTTCAGTAGGCTTCAGTAGCTTGTCAACTATCAAGCAATTTTCCCTTGGGGATGAATCAGGTATATTCTATTTCCATCTGAGTGTACATATTAACTTTTTTTCCTGCCATTAAACTTTTCATGGTTGGCCCTGTATATTAGTGAAGTTTTTTGGCTTCAAAACGTGTTTGATAACGTTGACATTAATAATTAAAACTTCTCAGTGTTTGACATTGTCTAGCAAAATGTTTTTACATTAGGCTACATGGATACTGTATTAATATATCAAGGAGCTGCAGTTGTTGTTTGCTGCATTTTTACATCAACTTATAAGTTATGAAACTTAAATTAGCATGAAAAACATTTGAAATTCATACATTGTGTCACAGATTCCCAGTTGAATTTAGGACTGGACTTTAATCGTTCAACCACTGCATCACATCAACAGGCTCTTATTTAAATTATTTGCAGCTCTGACTGTATGTTTAGGGCTCTTCTCAGCTCTGACTCATCTCTTTGTTCCAGATACAGAAAACTATGCTGCCACCACCATCTGTCACATAATGTCTAAATGACATTATGTGACAGATAATGTGACATGGAAGTTTTCAATTATTCACTTCCATGGTTAGAATTGTTATTACAGGAAATGCATGGAGCATTAAAAAAGTGATTCATAACTGAATTTAAGCTTCCTTCAAAGAAATGTAATTTCCTGACCTGATAGTAGCCTCCTCCTCCTCCTCCTCCTCCTCCTCCTCCTCCTCCTCCTCCTCCTCCTCCTCCTCCTCCTCCTCCTCCTCCTCCTCCTCCTCCTCCTCCTCCTCCTCTTCCTCCTTTTCCTTCTCCTCCCCCTCTTCCTCCTCCTCCTCCTCCTCCCCCTCCTCCTCCTCCTCCTCCTCCTCCTGCTGCTGCTGCTGCCTTGGCTGGGATCCTACGATGCAGAGACCAGGGAATGCTGCTCTCTGCTGTTCTTTATTTATCTCTGTAAATGATGAGCTTGCATAGGATGCCTGACATCACACCATGCCTCAAGGTCAGGGTGGAGTCAGTGGCTAGGGTTGCCATGGCGATGGAGAGGCATGAAAAGCAGGCTTTGTTTGCAGGCCACATGTGCCTGTGAATCATCTGAAGGCCTAGATATAGAGCTGCTCTTTTTCTGAAGCACTCTGATGAATTTTTGGTTGCATCTTCACTACGTCATGAGGTTCACAGGAAAAACAGATGAAAACAGCACAAGGACCTGTACACAAAATGTTAACACGTTAACACTGATGAGTTAGGCATGTTCTCACCTTTACGGCTAAAATTACGGATCTTCTTTCCCTAAAGCATCTCAATGAGTGTCCTGATCACAGCGATTAGAGCTGCATGAAGCTGTAGCATGAAGCAAGCCTGACTATCTGTGTAAATCCACATGCTGCATTTAGAACTGAGGACAGTATTCTGATTCTCACTTTTTCTTTTGAGATCCACAAGTTAGGTTTTGAGATGTGACGTGAACTAGATTTTAGATTAGGAACAGAATAGTAATGGTTAGTGTTAGGGTTAAGCATAAATCTGGTTACCTCAATAAGTGGATATCAGCACAAAGAAATACAAGTAAGGTGTGTTTGTGGCCTTTTTGTGGAAGGAATATTATTCAGCAAATACTACATTGTGAGGATTCTTTATTATTTTCTTTATTATTTTGTATAACTTTTTAAACAATTTTGTTAGTTAAAATAATTAATTATTACTATTAAAAATGTTTTGACCACAGTTTCATTTTTTTGGATTGAGATAAGTTTTATTTTGTTTGAAACAAAAAATATATTGCAAATCCAAAAGTTTTGACCACAATTAAATTTTTTTTATTTGACAAACAAATTTAACCCAATGTAATTGCTTCTTCACAGACCAAATGAGAACTCAAAGGAAGACTTAACAACAAATTTAGACAACACTAAATTTTCTTTAACATAAGTAATGTTAAAGAAAATTTTGGTTTCCAAAATTGGTTTCTAACCTGGCATGTGCTTCAATAATCCATAAAGAATTCAATGAATAAGAAAGAAAACTACTACAGTCAAGACCAGGGTCACTTTGTTGGCATTAAAGATATTTTAAAAGCGACAAAAATGGACACATTTTTACCATTGAAATGTCTGACATTTCTCTTACATACCAGGAGTTCCAAGAGGTGGAAAACCTGAAAGATAAAACAATCCTCCACCTCCTATGCTGAACCTTCAGCATCATCATCAAGTCTTCTGTACGTGTGAAGTGAGTTGAGTCTGTGAACGTTGATATGGTGCAGAGAGCTTACTCTCATTCTCAGTTCTTAATTTGCACATATCAGGAAATAATCCAACCCTCACTTTTATGCATGAGTTGAAGACATTTGACACAAAACAAATTTTACACAGGATTTTGTGATTTATACTAAAAAATGAACTAAAGGCAAGCGCTTATTATTAGACAGTAAAGAATAAGGAGCAGTTGTGCTGCTCTGCAAAATGATCAATTCATTATTGATTATTTTAAGTGTTGCCACTTCTAGAAAAGCCCAAGATTTTGCTATTTGTGGCTCCAGAGCATTAGAGATGTGTTAGTCCAACAGCAAAGAGGAAGGGCATCAGTGAATGCTGCTGCCTATTCATCTTGGCTGTTTTATAAGTCTGATGTCCATGAGTTAAGATCTGAAATATTTAGCAAGCTAAATGCTAACATTCATGACACAAAAACTGGAAATATACTGATTAGCTGTCTTTTGCCAACTTCATTGCTTCATATGTGGATTAAAAAAAAGAAGAAAATAAACAAGAAAACAAAACAAAGCCTTCCCTATAAAGAATGGTTTGTTGGAAAGGATGGAGAAATCCTCCATGACTGATGGAAGAGCTGTCTTCACTTACACAGTTCAATGATTCCATCTAGTGAAAACAAAAGGAAGTGTAAATTCCAAAAATGTAGCATTCTACTGCAGACACAAACTACTGTGCATCTAGATTTTAAATATTAAGCGTCACTGACTGGTTTATTAGTTTGGTGATTTCTGAAAGCATTTAGTTGCACTGGATATTATCTCAGGGTGTTGGATGAAAAGGGGCTGGGAACAAATTCATACCACACTTTTCAGAATTTCATTTGCAAAAATGTTCACCTCACAATTACATCCAGATTTGTGTTGGTTTGTCACATACAATTTTAATAAAATACACTGATGTCCATGATGATTGTGACAAAGATATGGAAAAGTTCAAGCAGTATGAATATTTTTTCTAGGTGCTGTAGAAAAAATATTAGTGTCATGTCAAATTACATTAAACATTGTCAACTCAGGACGATGTATGGTCAGCTCAAATCTTTTATTTGAAAACAAAAACAAATACGCATTTAGAATATATTTCCTTCAGAAAATAACCATTTACAAAAGTAATGACTGAGCTAGGGTTATTTAGTTGCTGAGCAAAATCCTCTGACACAAAATTGAGAAGCAGGGGAGGGGGAATTAGATTAAACAATTATGTACATTAATCTCTGAAACATCTCAACTCCAAACTGGTCTCAATTTAAAATCACTGCAGCATTTCTTAAATCTTTGGGAAGAGTTTTTGAAGGGAAGCGGTTCTGTAGCTCTGCTAGTTGTAGAAGCCTCTCCAGTACCAGCAGGTGCAATTAAGGCCGGCGGCTATAAGCAGGATGACCAACAGAGTGATGAGCAGGCCGATGCCCAAGATGGTGGCCACAACGGCCCAGATGAGTGTCCTCTTGGACGTGTCGATCAGAGGAGACCTGAGGGCCATGCGGACCCTCCGCGCTCGCCGGCGGTCCTGGGGAGGATAGCGTGCCAAATTTACCCTCTCCATCTTCAGCGAGCGAATCAGACATGCTCTCTGGTGACTCAGTTGGTCGAAGGTGTGTTTGCCATGGTAACGACCCATGCCACTCTGACCTGGAGAGGGGTCCAGAACACAAGTAGAGTTAGGACTCAGCAACAGAATCAAACTCATCTTTCAAATCTCTCAATTTCACATCCAAGATCGAACCTAACAGTGTGCATCTCAGTGGTAAGCTGAGTTTCCTGCATCCTCCTGAGTTCCCCAAACACCTTCTATTTCCTTTTTTTAATAAATCACCTCAAACTGCTTTCCCTGTGTGTCAGTCTGCATGTGGGTCGGTTAAATCCAAAACATATTGATCGATCGATGTATCGACCGACGGATGGAAAAGGAGTGACTCACAGAAAAGGAGAGATAAAAAGACTTCTACTGTCCTTTTCCTTCTTTATTTCTATTTTTCCTAATCTAATTCAGAAAACCATAGCTGGAGCCCTCCAAGCTAAACTACCTTGTGTCGTTATGTAAATGATGTACTATTACACTATAGGAGCAATTCTCTACAAAGAGCTTTCTGAAGACATTCTTTAATTTGACTCAACAAAACTGTCATGCTTCTCACCAACGCCTCCAAATGGGAGCGAGCTGACTGTGTAGTGCATCATGACATCATTAACTGTCACTCCTCCACTGGTGGTCTCCTCAATCATCCGTTTTATTGCCTTGGTCAGACGGGAGGAAGCACAAGAGTCACATAGAGAAAGGTCCAAAAGTTTAAAAGTTGTTTTCTGTTTTGTGAGCCCCACTTTCTGATCAGAACAGAAGATATAGAGAGCCAAGGGTTTCTCCCTTTCATTGATAAAGTTGATGGCATTGTCCATGTCGCTCACTGTGACTATTGGCAGGAGAGGGCCAAAGATCTCCTCCTGCATCAGCCTGGAGTGGGGGGGCACATCCTTCAGCACCGTTGGGGCTGTCAAAGGGAGAATACTGTTAATAAAACTGGAATGAAAACAGAAAGATGTGAACAGTGATTTAAAATGCCTCTCCTTACCAATGTAGCACTGTGAGGAATCACTCTGACCCCCCACAACAGGAGTGTATCCCTCCATCAGACTCATGATTCTCCTGAAATGCTTCTGGTTGATGATTCGGCCATAATCAGGCGAGCATTTCGGATCAGCACCATAGAATTCCTGTGAAAGTAAAAACAAAGGGTTTCAATAAAGCTTCATACTGTCCAGTTTAATGTCAAACTAACAGAAGGTCAAAGCTGATGTGCTACCAGCAAAGTCTCTCGGATGAATTCAACCACCTGGCCCTGGATGCAGGGCTCACACAGAATATAGTCTGGAGCGATACAAGTCTGGCCACAGTTCACAAACTTCCCCCAAGTGACACGCCTGCAAACAGAATAGTCATTACTGGGAGAATCTTTGAAATGCTTTAGAAAGCTATGAAAGAACACATAATGATGCCAGCTGAAGGTTCAAGTCAATACCAGCTTGAAAATGCTGATGGAGCAATACTATGCAAAATACACTCGATCTATACATCTGTTGGGATCTTGGGCTGCTTGAGTTTATTTGGGGTTTTGTTATTTGTGATCCTTCACAAATAACTTAGTTCTGCCTTGTTTCTATTTTTACATCAGTTCCTTCTTAGTGATTGTAGTTATGTTTATTTCTTGTGTCTTCTCTCCTTATCTTTGTTGCTCTAGTTTTCATTATGTTTCTTTGTCTAGCTATTTTTGTTAGATTTATCCCTAGTCCCTCTCTCTCTCTCTCTCTCTCCTCAGTCAGCATTCTGATCTCTCCAACACTTGCTGCAACCTGTTAGCTCATTAGCCTGGCTCTTTTGTTCAGCATTCAGCCTCTCTTTCCAACACTCCACCATGGCTCCTCTATTAACCCTTTAACAATGTTTGCAGATGTGCAGTTCCACCAACTGCTGGCTAGTCTGAAGGAGTTGAATGGGGAAGTCACAGTGGGGACTGTCCTGTGAGGCAGAAGCTTGGAACTGCAGCTCAGAGGAGAAGTTGCGTCTATAATGGGGATAAGTCCACCCAGGTGTTTTTCACAGCTGCAAATTAAAGGATTTCTCAAACATGCATGAAAGAGTCAAAACAAAACTACAGCTATGTTTTTGATGAGAGACTAACACTAAAGCTCCAAAGAGTGGATTTTACATGATCGCCTTTTAAAAGTTGCAACCTAAAGATGGAAAAACCATCTGACTCTCTGCCATGTGTTATTAGTCCAAAATCTCCAGGAAGGTTTGTAATTTTTCTACATCAGTTCAGCAGTCAGCCTTGTCTGTCTGTTGGTGAATACAGTGTTACCGGCAGGCCGTCCTGACATCACAGTCCTTGTCGATGTAGCAGGGGCTCTTCCCGCCCAGCTCCAGAGTCACAGGGGTGAGGTGGTGCGCTGCAGCCTCCATCACCAGTTTCCCTGCTGTGCTGCTGCCCGTGTAGAAGATGTGATCAAACCTGAGCCTCAGCAGCTGCTGGGTCTCTGACACACCACCTGTCATTACTGGATACAGATCCTGGAGGTAAACAAAATATTTTCTGGTCACTGAGTGCTCAACACTGTACTCCTTGAGGGAAATAAAGAAAAATCATGTTCATGAATCAGGACTCGGCTCTTCAGCTCTTTGGAGGGAGTAAAAACTTTCCATCAGACAGAGACAAATTAATCTCCGTGATAAGCTGTGCTATGTGGAGACTTAACAGCCTTTTCATCCAGCATTATATTATCAACACCAGCAGTGGGTGTTCAGACCTTGTCCAGATAGCGAGGCAGTAGTGCATGCAGCAGGAGGGATGAGGACTCGCTCAACTCGGATGGTTTCACCACAGCTGCATTGCCTGTGAATGGGATGAAATCACAGAGTGACGCAAAGCAGGAATAGTAGGAGGATGAGAATGCTGGCAGGGGGGTGAGGGAGGGGGAGGGGTATCAAGTGAAGTTTGTACAACTGTTGCAGGGTTCTTACAAGGGCTCATTCTACATAAACTCTTTCACATTTCATATTATTTGAGACAAAAAAAACCCTAATTGGATTAATTTTTAAAAAAGATTTTATTATCAACACAATCTTGCATGTCCTTGTAAGGGTGAAGGAAAATGGTATATAGTTTTTAAACTTTTTTAAAAATTAAAACGTCAAAAGTTGTGGTATACATTTGGATTCAAACCCCCTTTACTCCAATACCACTAATTAAAATCCAGGCTGCCCAATCAGTTTCTCAAGGCTCTGTAGTAAATAGAGTACACATGTGTATAACATAATATTAGCATAAATTCAGCTGCTCTACATGTAAAATTCATTACACACTATAGAACAAATATCATCATAAAAACAAAGGCACACAGCGGACAGGTGTGGGAAAAATTCTGGAGAAATTTAAAGCAGGGTCAGGTTCTAAAATAAAATAAGATGTAAAAGTCTCACAGAGCTCTGATCAATCCATCATCTGAAGGTGGAGACAGGAACATGTGGAAGAAGGAGTTCAGGCCAGATGAAACTAAAACATCAACTACTGCAAATGCTCAACAGTGTCTGGCTGAAAACCAATATTACAAATCACCTCTTTAAAGCTGCGTTATGTAACTTTTATAAACAACATGTTTTTACATATTTATTAAATCATATTTGTCTCCACATTGTGGCAGTATAACATGAGACAGCTAATCTGAATGAAATATAGCACCTCTACATTCTCCTTGTGGTCCTACTGCCATCTGCAGAAATGCATTGCTCAGTCAGAAACAACCAGTAAGAGCCAGGAGAAGGGTGGAGGAACTGTTATGCTACAGCTAGTTACCTACACAGAAACCAGAGATGGACGCACAGGCTAGTAAGCATGAACAGTTTTTCAGTAATAGTAAGTTGTTTTTCCACCATTAGCACTTTGAGCAGCCTGAACACAAGCCTGAAGGTCATCAGTAAGACCCTCCTCCTGACTCTGATTGGTTGCTTCTGATCAAATGGTTTATTTCTGCAGATTTTTTGTCTCATACCATATTGTCATGACAAAGTGGCAGTTTTAATAAATGTGTAAAAAATATATTGTTTATAAGAGTAGTAACATAGTGGGAGCAATTTAGGCCTGCTTTCTTCAGCTGGTACAGGAAGCTAACCTGAGTTGATGGGGGTGGGGCATCAACTCATCCAGTGCTGGAAGAAAACATGTCAGTAGCAGCAGAAGACCTGAAACCCTAAACATACATCCACACTTTGCATTGAGTTTTTAGCAGCCAAAATCCGAAGCAGAAAGTAAAAGAGCTCCTACCTGCTGCGATAGCTCCAACCAGTGGAATAAGAGTTAGAGCCCAGGGGTAGTTCCAGGCCCCAATGATGAGAACCACTCCAAGGGGCTCTGGCTGAATGTAGACCTCGTCCGATATAGTAAAGAGGTTCTTCTCTACAGGACGAGGAGCAGCCCACTGTGCAAGCTTCTCTATGGCCAGTTTGATCTCATTCTCAATGCTGATCAGCTCCAGGAGAGGCGTGTCATATTGGCTCTGTGGAAAACCCAGGAGGCATGGAATCAAACCCAGCTATACACCACTCTTCTGGAGCACCAAACATTTATATTTGGTGCTCCAGTGACTGTGTGTCCCCTTACCCTGTTGATGTCTTGTTTGAGAGCAGTGGAAATCTCAGTCTCCTTCTCCATGATCATCCTCTGCAGAGCATGAAGCTGCTGGAGTCTGAACTCTAGAGGTCGAGCCCTGCCACTGATGAAGGCCTCCTTGGCCCGCTGTAACAGCTGCCTTTCCATCCAGTCACCTGCTCAACAACAAGGCCCAGACCGTGAGCCTCCAGCAGTGTTTACACCCTGGGCAGGTTAGAACCGACAATCAACAATCTCCTGGCTGCAAGGAAGCAGTGCTTGCCACTGTGCTCTCCCTTAAAATGCAAATATATTAGTTTAGCACCACTTAATGAAAGTATGAATCAAAGTTCTTGTTGAGTAAATTAAACCAAATAAAATAGCTTCAAAAGATTTGCTTAAAACATCAGCCTTATATAAAATATACACAATGAAGCACAAGTGCTAAAATGTACTTCGTGAGAAAGCTGCTGGAAGAAATGAATGAAAAAGAAGATAGAGCTCATGTTTTAATTCAGTTCATTTTGTTCTGATGACATCTTGATCTCTAACACTGCCTCTTCATGGTTATACTATCTTAAAAATTAAAGTAATTATTTAGTATAGTTGGATTGATTTCATAAGCTTTATTGAACACTAAATGGTGTAAATTCAAATGGATTTTTCAAGAAAAACATCTTAGTAGTCATAATGTTTTTGTCATTATCTTAGTTGCGTTAATAAATTAAGCTACATGTAGAAATGCGTCTTAACCACCAGTTGCCTGTTTATAGATCCAGGTTTGTTACTCTTAGTGTCATTTCCATCCGTTGGGTTGAAAACTGAACTCAGGATTCTAGATCAAACCAGTAACTCAGCCTGTACAATCCAGGCTTTCAGTGCAGTGAATCCCACATTTCTGTAGAAAAATATTCTTTCAGACTCCCGATAAGCATCATTATGACATTTCTCAATAAAACAGTTTAGGCCTGCATTAAATTGAGTCTGCGTCATCTCACTAACGTAGACCAACTAAGGCCATTTGCTTTGCATCTCAGTTCTAAAATATTGATGCGTCTGAGACCAAACTGACTGCGGAAGCCGGTCCATGAAGCGCGTCTACATACCGAACTCACCGCAGTCGGACCGGAGCTTGATCTGGTCGGATACGAGCTGAATGTTCCCGTCGCGCTGCGGGTTTTCTGCTCTCCAGCTGACCTGTGTGCGCCGTTTGGCACTGGCGCAGCTCTGGGGTCAGAGTCTGCGCCACTCCCCCTCCCTCCCACCGTTTTATTCAGCAATTACATGATAGGGGATCTGCTTTCTGGCTTCTAGTTTTACAGCCTTCATTTAGCAGTTCAGAGATTACTGTCATCTTTGTAGCAGCTGATCAGTGAAGGCAGCCAGCCATAAAAACCAAAAACCTTGGAGTGGAACATAAGGACACAGATGTCAGCTTGGATGGAAGGAATAACGGTACAGAAAGAAAACAGGGAAAAAAATTTACTTTATTTTTTTAATGAACAGAAAATGTGAGGAATACCCAGAACTAAAAAGAGATTTTGATGAACTTTAATGGATTACCATGGTAACATGTTGCTGGATAATATGGTGACATATTGTCCAGCAATATGGACAATATTGTGGTCACAAATGTGAGCATAAAATTGTAGCAGATTTCATATAATTGATTTACACAAAACAGATCTGAAATGATTACTTCAATCATGTGTCCTTTACTTTAGTACAAATATGAAATGCTTGGACCAGTACAGTGATGGACCTGACTGGATTCCAGCTGCAGATGACCTGCATCGACTGCTCAGCTTCAGCACAGGAACCGCTACAGGCAACAAGACACAAAAAACAGAAACATGGCTGAGCTGCTGCGCATGAGCACAACAAACATGGACGTCAACAACAGTGGAGCTGACCAGAACAAAGGAGACCTTCAACCAGGGGCAGTGAGGCATGTTGGGTAATTAAAAGGAGGGTAGATGTGTGGGCAGGTTTTCTGGACAAAAACACATTGTCTCTCAGAGACAAAGCCATTGCTGTATGAGGGGACAGCATGTACTCGTCAGATTAACATGGAAAATGATTTGATAATATTTATGAAGTTGCAAACAGAATTTACTTTGTGTAAAACTAGCTGCTTTACTACTGATAATCCTAAACAGAATTATTGCTTTGGAAACCAGGCTCCAATAAATAACTCTCCTGTGATACCAGCTGGCACTGATTAGCTGACACAATAGAAAAACTTTGTTAATTATCAACAATACATTATTGAAGAACAGATAACATTCAGGTATTTTATGCAAAAAATCACTACTGACATCTAATGGTTGTTCAGCAATAAGACGCTTTTGAGGTGATAAGCTTACATAATCCACATCTGACAGAAATATCATTGTTTATCCAACTCTAACGGGCATCCATCCATTATCATTGTGGGGTTGGAAGGGGAGCTGGTGCCTATATCCAGGGATCAACAGGCGAGAGGAAGGGTCACCCTGGACAGGTCACCAGTCCATCACAGGGCAACACAGAGACAGACAAGACAAACAAACATGCACACACACAACTAAGGACAATTTGAGAGTCATGTTTTTAAGCTGTGGGAGAAAGCCGGAGTATCTGAAGAGAACCCACATGCACAGGGAGAACACCCCCAACTCTAACACCTAAAATGAAAACCATTATTTGTCATGTTTATAGGTTTAAAAAGGTCAGTTGATCTCTGGCCAATTTCCCTCCATCTTTAATCTGCTTGAAATACACCATTAAATATAATCAAACAAGACAAAATATTGTAATTGTAAAAGACAAAATATTATCAAATCTAACCAGAGTATATATTAGTCTGATAATTAATATAAAAATATTAAAAATAGAATGAAAATTATCAAGCTAATTGAATTTATGAGTAATTGATTCATTGCTAATTGCGAAAAACATGACAGTTTTTCTTTACCTGAACCACAAAGGCTGCAAGGCAAGTCAGCATAGCCAGCATAGCCATGTTACGCAGCTTCTGCACATTAAACTGTGAAAGTAGAAAGCGACGGGCCCAGCCCAGCTTCTTGGTGCTGTGGGGGGGTATCGCATGCTGTTCAGCCCCTCCCTTTTGAGTTGTTTGATCATGCAACTGCGAAGATTGCTGAGCTGGTCGAAGGTGTGGCGGCCTCGGTACCGGCCCATACCGCTATGCCCTGACAAACAGAACATTGGAAGTCAGAGTGAAAACCTTGTGATGAATGGTGACCAGCAGGACAGACAGCCTACACTCACCAACTCCTCCAAACGGCAGAGCGCTGTCCAGGAAGTGGACGATGCAGTCATTGGCCACCAGGGCTCCACTAGACGTCTCAGCTAGCACTTTTTCGATCAGCTATTTAAAAAATATTCCTTTAGCATTAAGAAGAGGAAAACATCTGCCAGCAGGCCAAGCATTTACCTTGGCATTGTGGGAAAACACATAGAGAACTAACGGCTTCTCTCTCTCATTGATGAAATGGATTGCCTCATCCACACTCTGCACTGTGACGATGGGCAGTAGTGGTCCAAAGATCTCCTCCTGCATCACTCTGGAGTCACCTGTTACATTTTTCAACACTGTGGGACCTGAAAAAAAAAACAAAATGAAGTAAAATATTTAGGAAACATAGTATGCATACAACAGCGTGGGAAAATATAACATCCTTTCTGTTTATGGTCTCCTTAGATTGCCAAGTTCTTAAACTCAAAACACATTGAAACCGTGTTCAGCAGGATGCATCGAGACAAAACACGTCTGGGCTGAAAGTCCCATTCTGAACTCTTTACAGTCTGGTTAAATTCTAAATCCTTTTCATAGGATAACACAATCCTAAAAATTGCAAACATAACAATCGATTCAAATTACTTGTCAATTAATAATTTATTAAATTAAAATTAGTTCGTCATTAACTAATAAAGTCTGCTTAAGACCTTCTTTTAGTGTAGTAGTCCAGAAGAGGGCGCCACTGGTCATCATTAGGAAGCTAGTTTCTACAGAAATACCGTGAAATGCTTTTGTCATGTTAAAACCACACTCTTCAGTTCAAACTATTACTTTCACACTACTCAACATTTATTCTCTGTACATTTGAATTTTTACTCCTAAATTAATTTGCAGACTAATTTGTTTGAATTGATGTGTAGGTTAGCAGGAAATATAAGAACATGTGGCGCACAGCACAGCAATTGTTTGATTTATGCATATACCTAAATCTTTAAATGTGAGATAAAAAGATCTGAGAATATTTTTAACTTGCCAAGGCCAATTACACTCTGAAACACATCAAAACTGGCTAACATGAAGCCTTGAACATGGCCTTCTTTAAAGGAATGATCTCATTCTCATGGTGAACTATGCTTGAAATGTTATGTTTGCGCTACTACAGTAAATACAGATGCTCCAGAGTTCCAGGAATGTCTGATGCAGAGAACAAATCTCTTCCCTATGTAGCCCTGGGATTCATCAGCATCTCCACCAAACGCAATGGCGCACCCCTCCAGGAGACCCATGATCCTCTTAAAATGGCGCTGGTTAATGATGCGGCCATAGTCATCACTGGTCTTTGGGCTGTCAGCGTAAAACTCCTGCAGTGATCCAGAGATGAAAGGTTGGAAGCATTAAGATACAATAAAACATCTTTAACATTTTTGTTATAAATAGAAAATCAAATGCAATAAGAACAGGTAATGGGGCATAAAAATCATGGTTTGGTACTTTAATGTTCAAGGTTTAAGGTAGTGAAGCTCACAGCATGAAAGGAGACATTTAGTGAGGCATTTTTGCCTTGTCTTAAGGCAAAGAAAATGGGCAATTCTTTTTGAATGAGTCATACATGAGATCCTTGAAGTTATTTGAAGAAACCACAAAGAAATTGCTGTTAAAGCCTAAGGCTCTGATTGTCAAAGATTACAAATAAGGAGCGCTAAATTTCTTTTGTAAAAGGTGAATGTGTTTCATACAAGCCAATAAGGGAACTCTGAGACAATGAATTCCCTGGGTTTATTCTCAATAGTCATTTGGCTACATGATGGTTGTTTGTTCTCTGATGGTTGTTAATATTCATTTCTGTTCGTTTATTAACATGACACAATATTAAAGTTTAATCATGGTGTTTTTTGTTTTGTTTTTATTACATAAATATTGTCAGCAGACTAGCTGCACTATTATGTCCCTCGTTGGCCCGCACAATAAGTGAAACATGAAGCAAACATATAATTTGTGCCAATAAATTATAATAACAATCAATGGCTTGTTATAAACTGGAAGCAATGTAAGCCCCTTCATGACACACAACATTTTCATATATATGGAAACTTCTTATACTTTTATTCTTTGCAATCCATACTTCTTTATTATTTGTTTTTTTTTTTTTTTTGGAAAGGCCAATGAGCTGACATTTGTTGTGAATTGGTGCTATAGAAGTAAACTGAATTGAATTGATTTATTTTGAACCAAACTAATGTGAAATATTTGGTACGTTTTGATTGTGGTTTCCAAGCAGTGTGTGTGCGTGTGTGCATGCGTGTGCATGAGTGTGTTTGTGTGTATGTGAATTCCATTCCATTCTTCAAGCCACACTAACCTTAACACAACTCCTGATCTCTTCCACTACTCTGTTTTGTACAGAAGGTTCACACAGAATAAAATCTGGAGCAATGCACGTCTGACCACAGTTTACAAGCTTTGCCCAAGTGATGCGACTGTGTTGGAAGAAAGAACAGAAACGGTTCATTGTGTTAGATGGCTCGGTGGAGCCATTGTGACATTTTGTTCTATATTTTTTGTCAGACACAGACCGGCAAGCGATCTTGATGTCACAGTCTATGTCGATGTAGCAGGGGCTCTTTCCACCCAGCTCCAGGGTCAGAGGGGTAAGGTGGCGCGCTGCAGCCTCCATCACCAGTTTACCTACAGCTGTACTGCCTGTGTAGAAAATGTGATCAAACCTCTGCTGCAGTAGCTGCTGGGTCTCTGGCACACCACCTTCCACCACTTGGTACAAATCCTACACATAATGTTTCCAGTTATACACAATTTAATGTCAATGCAAACACTCAGAAAAACGAAGCAACAAGTTAACCTTATCCAAGTACAGGGGAAGAAGTTGCTTGATGACTGCAGAGGAGTTGGAGCTGATCTCAGATGGTTTTACTATTGCTGCATTACCTGGAAATGATAAACAAATTCATCCTGGAGCAGACAGACATGATGAAAAACTCTGAGAGAAAATCAGGAGTTACCAGCTGCAAATAAATCTCATCTGATCAGTGTTGTGATTAAATGAGTTCACATTTCTGTTTACATGGACAAGCTGCTACGCATAGAAGTGGTTACACAAACAGTACATCAGTGGTATTCATATATCTGAACCTATTTTAG